TGGTCATTCATTCACATGTTGATAACTTATGCAGGCACTGTGGAACCTGCAATGTTAAAGATGGCCAAATGGTCTGAAAATCATTACCTCAGACCAGATGTGCTTAAGTACACAATAATTACAATAAAACCAAATTGTACAACAGCTGCCAAATCCACATTGGGGATTTGTGGATTGGGGAGGTACAAAAAAGTAAAGTACCTGACAATTCCAAAGAAAGAAAGAAAATTACAAGTTGAGCGAATTGTATACTCTGTGATAAGACACTGAGAAACATAATTCACCTCATTTCTGTATTTCAGGTTTCCATTCAATGTCCGAGGGTAGTGAACATACATTCTGTGCCATTCTGCAGCTTGTTTAACTCAACCCCTAGCAATAAATGTTGCTACTAATTTATAAATGTCTTCCAATTCCATTACACAGAGAGAAATGAATCATTTGTGTCTGGTGTGACTTAAAAGGGAAGTCATAGAAGCAATTTTTGTAAAAGTAAAGATTACACAAGAGGGATTACTTTTCCATTGGAGCTCTTTTGCAATGACTTGTAAAAAGGTTTCAAAAGTCTGTAAAATGTAAAAGTTTCAAAGAGCACCTTTTGATACTGAAAACATAATTTAAAATGGTCTGAAAATTGTTTTGCTCGTTACGTTTTCTTGTTTTGCTTGCAAGATTCTGGATCACCACCCTATCCTAATCCTGTCAGAGTGGCTGCTCTTCAGAACACAACTTGTCACTTTGCCTACAGTCAAGATGCAGAAGGTGTCAATTTTTTTTTCAAGCTAGCAATGTGGCAATCAGGCTTCGAGACATATCTGTTCACAAAGTCTTCTTATGTCCTCCCAGTGCATGACAGGAAATGGTTTTCATCATTACCTTACCTACTATGACTTTGTCTGTGCTGACATACTGTATCATATTAGTAAAAGCAACACATTTGTCCATGGATCCACACCAGCACTGAGTCACTGTGTCAGTTGAGCAGCTCCCTGGGCTGCTTTATTTTTTTGTCTATTAACTCAATGTATCCTTTGCTTTTTAAAATGACACATAAGGTGTCAGTGAGTTCTGTTCTCCTGGCTTATTAAATAGTCATGGCAATGTCTAACATGAGAGAATACAGCTGATTTTTCTGTCAAGCTTTTGGCTTGGAAGTAGAGATTTTGAAAAGGCTGAAAAGCGTCTTAAGAAAGAGCCCTGTACAGAAAGAAAATGCACTCATGAAACAGTAGATTATAGAAATTAATTACCAAGGCGCACACTCACTTCATTTAACTTCATAATATATACTTCTGTGCCATTAGTTCTTACTTACCTGAGCTCTACAGGAAGAGCATCCTTCACTTTTAGACTTTGACAAAACATGCCTTGAAAGGAGAGGTCTACATACAGTTATTGTGACATGATTTTTTATAGGTTTATTTTAACTACAAACTTTCAGTATCCAGGTTTTGTTAGTAAATGTGAAAAAAACAAAGGAACTGGTCCTGCCCAGAAGTCACAGTATGTTGTAAACATTTGGTGTGTACAGAGCATTGTGGACTGTAATGTTTGATCCTTCGCAAGTTGAGAACAGTAGGCTGCCTCTTTGTGATGGCCTTAAGGCCTTACGTCTTACGGTTCTTACACTTCTTGGAAGTTGTAAATGAGAATTAGTTAAAAAACTGAAAATGTTCAAATGTATTCGACACATTTCACAGTTTTCAATTAACAATTTTCCTGGAAAACCTGTTGCCTTTTTAGATAAATAAGGTTAGTTGTGGTGCCCTTACCATCCTTGGAGATTGAGATTTTTACATTGAGAGATATCCACCCATCCATTTACATTGACTTTATCCAATACAGACCCATGGGGAAGCTGGAGCCTATTCTGGCAAGCACATACAGTATACTGGTATACTGTACATTTGAAGGAATAACATCTCTTTGTCTGATATGTTCAAGAAAGGCTCCATTGATCCTATTATATTTTCATAATATTTTCAGACTCAAACCTGATATTCACTAGAAGCAGCCTTGATACACCAAAGCAACAAGATTATTTCAACACATCTACCTAGCAGTGTAATGAGATGGCTGAGATCATACTAGTGTGACTCAATGCATATGGAAATAAATCTTTTTCTTTTCTTCTTTATATATACAATATAAACTTATATATATAGTATATTTACTTGTAGGGTTTTGTAGGGGTCACATCCATCTGCTTCTTGAAGGAAGCTGATGTATTGGTTTCCCACATGACTGGGTAGCTTATGTCATATTCCCACAACACTTTTGATAAAGGAGTGCCATCTTTTCTTGGTTTTAAAAAGCCCTTCACATAGTTTCCACTTGTATAAGGCCCCCTCACGGTCCTCTCTGTCCAGGACTTAAAAGGTTTGCTTCCTTCAGCTTGTCAAATCTGGATACAAAACTTCTACCTGGAGTATACAGTATCAGGTTGCTCTTATCTGGACTGTTTCCAGAGCAGCAATGTTTTCTATAACCCAACATACACAATATTCTGAGTGAGATCTTACTGGGACATAATACAAATTTTAATTTAATTTAAATTCTATGATTTATACAACATATCTTAGCAGTTTGTTTGCCTTCTTAACTGGTTCCTAACATCTCTTTTCATAATTAGACTCTACAAGCTCAGCATTTCCCATATTACAGTATATTCACAGTCTACATGGTGCATACGATAGCTTGCACTTGTCTACTTTTAATGTCATCTGACAGCTGTTTGACCAGTCATTAATTTTATGTAAATTGTTGTTCTGTTTGCTAATCCGCCTAATCATCTGCCAACTTGATTAGTTTACCAGGAATTCCAGAGTCACTGATATAAATTAAGAAAAGCAGTGCTCCTAGTATAGATCCCTGTGGTACTCCACTAATTTGAGCATTCACCCCTTATCTCTACTGTCAATTTTCTATTTAATAGTCAGTTATCAATCCAAAGACTTGTGTCTTCTTGAATTCTACTGCAAATGAAAATTGGCTGTTTATGAGGAACTTTATGAAAAGCCGTCTGAACATAAAATTAAATCATATACAGTAACATGCCTTATGTGTACCCTTTAATGTATTTGTTTCTTCAAAAAAACTCTAATAAGTATGTTAGGCAAGACCTACTTTTTCTAAATCCATGCTGACTATTTCCTAGGATATTATTCCAGAGGGGTGATCCTCTAGTTTAATTTTTAGAATTAGTTCCATTACTTTACATGTAATACCCCCATGTCTACTGGGGAATCCTGACCCAGGCTCGAACCTGATCAAAAAGCTCAAAATAAGTTTGACCATGAGCCTTTGCCAGTTCAGGCACTTGTGCTTACTGTGATGCAAAGCAAAAGTGCTGTAATTTGATTTATGATGTTTTCTCTGAACACCGCTGGAGTTGCCGGTCATTGAAATACATGGCTCTGTGGGGTCCAGGGTCCTGATTGGGTGAGTGAATGGCCTCATAGCATGGATCCAAAAGCACATCCTTCTGCTCAACAGGTTCAATACATAACAAGGACCAGTGATGTACTGAGCTTCACAAAGTATTAAACAATGGCAGGACAATAAACACCCTCATCAAGTCGAGAGATACTTATGCCCACCTTGTTTTGCAGCCTATGTGAAAACATCAGAACTTTTTGGCTTTTCAGGGGGATGGTACTATGAAGTACCCTCTGATTGAAACACGAGCTACTGTAAAATATTCTTTCACTCCGACCTATGCATTTGATAATGCAATTGAATGGATACTGTAATTTGTAAAGGTTGAGAACCATTGAGTTAGCTATGTCTCAGGCTTGTCCCTGCAGCAGGGACACAGAGTGAGCTAGTTTCCCTTGATAGCCAATTTAATGGAAATGCGTGCCAACAGAAAATCTGCATCACCTGTGAGCAGTTTTGATCTGCTCCTTGGCTTGTTACCCTTTCATGTTTGCTCGGCCTTGATTCTGCGTGTGATTACGGCAACGTCTTTTTGGTGGATTTGCCCTTGGTGGTTTGTACTGTAACTCCTGCTACGTTCCAAGACTACGCCCCTGGACCGTTTGCCCATTTCATGCCGTTTCCCCAGCATGCTCTAACACAGTGCCGTCTGTGTGCACACCACCTGCTTGGCCACAAACCCGATCAGTATTCCTGTCCGGTCACTGCCTGCTGTCTTGCCAGCTCGCAGCCTGCGCTCGTCTCCCAGTTTGCACCCTTTCCGCTCAACCCAGTCTCTGTGTTTACGCACTGCGGCTCATCTGCTGCTCACAACTGGCAACCCACTGAAGCTAAGCAGGTGTGAGCCTGGTCAGTACCTGGATGGGAGACCCTCTGGGAAAAACTAAGGTTGCTTCTGGAAGAGGTGTTAGTGGGGCCTGCGGTCCATGTGGGTCCTAATGCCCCAGTATAATGACGGGGACACTATACTGTAAACAGGCGCCGTCTTTGAGATGAGACATAAAACCGAGGTCCTGACTCTCTGTGGTCATTAAAAATCCCAGGGCGTTTCTCGAAAAGAGTAGGGGTGTAACCCCGGCGTCCTGGCCAAATTTCCCATTGGCCCTTAACAATCAAGGCTTCCTAATAATCCCCATCTATGAATTGGCTTCATTACTCTGCTCTCCTCCCCACTGATAGCTGATGTGTGGTGAGTGTTCTGGTGCACTATGGCTGCATCATCCAGGTGGTTGCTGCACATTGGTGGTGGTGGAGGGAAGGCCCCATTACCTGTAAAGCGCTTTGAGTGGAGTGTCCAGAAAAGCGCTATATAAGTGTAAGCAATTATTATTATTATTATTATTATTATTATTATTATTACCTTCCCCCTTACATTGCGCTCTTGTGCTTGCACTTCCTCTGCTACTGTCAGGTGTGTCGCCCAGCAAGCGGGTTTCTACAACATCAACATACTGCTGCTTACCCCCCATGAGTAGTAGAATTTGACAATATGTGTTTAAAACATAAGTTATATGTGACAATACTCTTTCAAAAATTCTAGGAAAGAATACTGACACAAAAAGTTGAAACCTCTTTTGTTTATTATTTTAAAACTTTTTATGATAAAATACACTTTTTTACAGGTGCTGATTATTATTGTACATTCTTTTTTGTATTCCGTTTTAAACAGGTAGCTTAAACAGAAAAAAAATATACAAAACACAAACAGGAATTGGAATAAAACTGCTAACATGACTAAGAAGAACATAGCACACACACACAAACATTCATATTTTTTCACCATCACCCTTTAACAGTTATATATACTGTTACTTACACTTAATCTAAATGGTTTAGAGGCAACCCCAACAGTCTTTCCTACTCACACCTTTCTACAAAAAGGAATGCACTACTTCAGGCCTAATAACACTTCGCTCCTAGTACAACATGGGATTAATAACACAACAAATCCCTTATGGGAAATGGTACATATAACATTCTTTTCAAACTAATTAATGTCTCCGGTAGGTCTGTGAAACAATTCTTTCGAAGTATGGAATGCTGTCCAGACCCCAAGAAAACGCAAATTGGTAGAATTTATACTAAAATGCTTGATGACTCAATAGAAACACATTTTGAAGATAATTTTATTTTAAATTTCTAGTGGTATAGAGTAGACCAATGGAGTGGAGACCCATATCTTTCTCTGAAGGAAAGTTGAAGGACCCTGAAATCAAGGAACAAAGCAGTTTTCTTACACATGCTACTCCAGTTTACACAGAAACCTAAGGCACAGCTTAAATACATACTGTATACATATATATCATTGAGGGAAAGATGATGTGAAGGACGACAGGACAGGACAAAAAAGTAAAATAATACAATTTCTCACTTAAATATTTCCCAGGTAAATCTTTAAGCTAACTGGGCTTCAATAGTCTGTTTTCAAATCTTGATAACACACTGCACAATAAATCTACAAAGAAATATGTGCGTTTTAAAGATGAACACACAGATACAATTTCACACATGAAAGAGTAATTTAAATATGAAATAAAGCATAATGTACTGCTGTTTTCATTGCTACAATCTCCCAGAGGGGAAACGTTTATCAGCCTTCGAAAAACTGAGCCTAGAGATATTGCTTTCTTCTAAACTGAAACCAAGGAAGATGCATTGTTTACCAAAATAGATTACTGCCAGGTTCATTTGCTGTATGTTGCTTTCTATTCATAAAGTAAATATTAGAAGGAAAAACAAATGCTGAAGCTCCCATCCTGTATTTTGTAAGGTTCGACATTTTCAATGTCAATATCAAAATTAAAAAGCACTGAAAACATAAATACAGAACATTGTGGTTTAGCTGGGATCATTTGAAGGCTGTAGGATTTCACCCTCTAGAACACCTTGATAATGGAGGGACAAAAAACTTTTGATTGTCATTCCAGCTGGACTCCTGATTACTGAATTGAATCAAGTATTTGCTTAATTAATCACACTTAATGTGATCTTTATACACTGATTGAAAATGTATACAAAACGTGACATATACTGTAGGACATTTCTGGGACCCTGGTTGAAGCCCACTGCTGTAAAATGTCTTTCAAATGAATCTTGCATTTTCATTCACAGAATGACCTTGGGATTCTTATCTGCACTTGCCAGACACATATTAATGAGAAACAATGTATGGTTAGGGAAATATGGCTTCAGAAGGAGTGCATTATAAAAATACTTAAATGGGGAGGAAGAATCTCATTTTCATTTCCTAAAGCACTAAGGCAAAAACACAAAGTTTTGTGTTCAGAATAATTTCTTTTAATCTTTCATCTTGGACTACACACATGCAAAAACATATGGTAACATAGCAGCCTACTGTACATTAGCTCTATTTCTCAAACAAAATTTACGCAAATAAAATACATAGGAAATCTATTTATATATGTATAATTCATAGATCTTTTTTTCTTAAAAAAACGTTTATTTAAAATATCTATTTCTGTTATATTCATGAAAAAATATCAATGCTCATTTTTAAAAGTATCCCATCCTTTCTGGTTCAACAGTCCCTTATAAAAAGAAAAACGTCTTAAAGACTACCTTATCTTTCTCAAAAACAAGGAACCATCAGTGTTCTGTGTATAAATCCTGTTCATGTACAATTCTTATGTAATTTTTAAAACCTGTTTTTTTGATGATCATGTTTTTATCAAGCCAGCTCCTACATGTGTACATAGATACTGAGACATCAGAAACAGTGCTGCATGACAGATAAACCAATTTAGACTTAATCTGTTCTCTAAACAGTCTGCTCAACAGACTACTGAAGAAAGTTAGTGCAATAAGTTCAGTTTTATTCTCCTTTATTTGTCTCGTATACTGTATGCTTAGAAAGTGATAAGCAATAAAGAGCACAAATCACCACCATATTTTATCAGTACACACACTGATCTGAAAGTATCAGTCTTAAAATATGAACTAGCCAGGGCACAATCCAACAACACCCCTGTGTACTTGAAGCGTGAACCTTTTTTTTTTTTCAATTCCAGACAGCATGTTTTTCACACTCAGGTCATGACCATGAAGCCTATAGCCACACGCAGCCAGTCTCCCCCAACCTGTCCACTTTCGAGCGCCCTGTTCATTTAACACGGGAGGTTCAGTGTCAATGGAAGGCAGATTGCCCCCTTATTCTTGGCGGCACTCAGTGAAATCTGCACCACAACCAGCTGGGGAATCCAGTGCCATGAACTGTTCTAAAAAATCACAAAAGGGTTTCTGGGAAATTGCCTCTTTAGTCTGTTATCACTGCTGAAAGGGAAAATCCTGTCTTAACTTGTATCGGATGGGGGCTTATTAGTCTTCAAGCTGGAAGCAGTACCCGAGAAATAATGAAATGGCAATTGCTCGCTTTCAAGGGCTACAACAGCACTATCAAAGATACATCTTATTATCCCACATCTTGTCATTATTAAAATCTATTATACCTAATTGCATGCTTGGTAATTATAAGGTAAGTTGTACGCCTTTCCCATAGCACACTTTAAGAGCCCAGATAAGGGGATGAGAACAATTAATCTAGAGCAAGATTGAAATATGTTGTTTGTGAAACTTTCTAAATGGATTCTCTGCTTTAAACTATTATTCTTCTCAAATGAAACGTCACAGAATGTTAAACTCCACATGGAGTTAAGTTACCATTTGGGATGAGTGGGGTGCAGACACTTTTGGATAATTGGCTTAATGTTTATCGTTGTAAACTGAGTAGCCTTCTCTCATTTGTAACCTTGCCTACTGGGAGGCCTGTGTTATTACTAACATGCTCCATGCATGTAAGAATGTTCTTACTGGTTTCATGTCAGATTAAAAAATATTCAGATGACATTTTAAGTGTTAATTCAGAGTTCACATGATTATACTTGTATTGCTTTTTTATGGCTTTTTCTCCACTTATATTATTACAGTAGTAATATACTTATGGTCACAGGTGCTGTAAATTGATATAAAATTGAAAGAGAAGTGAAACACAGGTAAATACCAAGCGAAATCCACACTCTAACTTCATTAAGGATGGATGAAAAGGATGAATACAAATACAAAGACTAATACAATTACATCTTCCCAACTTCGCAGAACTCCAAACCATTGACTGGGACAAATGAAATTAAGCTGCAATAAAGAAATGTTTCCAGTTAGATTATTTTGTTGAAATTTTCCTCACATGACATAAAGAAGTCTATTGTAAAGATGATTTCATAATGAATGCTTACATGTAGTTGGACCTCGGAAAGGGATAAGGGACACAAAGCTTATTGAAAGCAACAGCTTCCACAGCTCATATGGTATTTATGCAAATAACATCCCAGCCTGCTTAGGTACAAAAATGCTGGACAGGCCTGCTTATTTATAAATATGGCTGCAAGGGGAGATGTTTTAGTGATTTTAAAAGAGAGATGATTGTTGGGGCATATTTGGCAGGTGTATCAATAATCAAGTCAGCTCAATTTGCTTGGTTCAGTGGTGTTTAAGGTAATGTTAGTATGGAACTCTGAGGAAAACACTGTCAATTTATTATAATATTTGAAGTGCAGGGACAACAGACAATCAACTCCAGATCAGTGTATTGCAAATTTCAACTTGGTGAGCAACAGGCAGTTAGATTAAATATGGTCTGCTGAGAGCTTCAGAGTGCAGGATACCATAGTCAGGTTGTATTGTACAAACTTCTCGTTATATCTGCAACACATTCAGTATTTGCAAATCTAGTGGTGCAAAGAGCTGAGTCAAAATACTATCGAGCAGTGGAGAAATGTCATATGTTCAGATGAATCATTTTTAACCATGTTCTCAACAAAATGTCAACCTAAAGACTTCTACAGCCCTGACTGCTTTATTCCAACAGTGAAAAGTTCAAGAGGTTCTGTAATCTTTTTTTTAGTCCAATTTCCCGGTATAGTTTGGGTGTACTCATTTTGTCAGAATGCAAGATCAATACTAATCATTACTTAATGGTACTGAGTGATCATTTTCATTCTGTGTCGGGAGGGGTGTCTTTTAGGAAGACAATGTCCCCATTCACAGAGCATGTGTGGTCACCCAGTGTTTTGATGAGCATGTCCTTTGTGTTATCCATAACTCATAGCTGTCTCATTCATCAGGTCTGTACCCAATTGAGCGGTTTTTGGAAATTCCAGAAAAAGCCTGAGACAGTCTTTTCTGCCTCTATCAACCATGAGTTAGTTGATTGAGTTTCCCAAGAAAACGTGGTGCCACATCTCTCCTGCACAATTCAAAATTCTAGTAGATGCCATACAGGCATTCTGGCTGCAAATGGTGGCCCATCATCCTGTTTAGTGACTTTACATTGGTGTTTCCATTTTTGTCCATTATTTGTACTGTAGGTCTAACACACCCATCTCTTTATTCTCTAGTTGGATATGCTACATAAATATTAGACATATTGGTTTTCCAATATGGCAGCAAGAAGCTACAGATAAAAGTAGTAGACTTCTTCCGTCAGTTTGAAGAGATCGGAATAGTTTTACTCACTTAACAGGAAAGTGTCAAGGCAGCACATAAAAGGAAGACCTTCCAATAGTGCCTGCCTACCACAGGATATTTTTTGGGACATGATGATGTATGTGATCCTGATGATGTGTGATCCTTTGTGGATAATGTTTGTATGACTAAATGCACCTGTGTAAATGGGAACGAGAGGAAAGTATAATAACAAAGTATTTACCATTAACAAAATTCATGCAGGCTGCTTCACTTGGTGATCGTAATCCACTATCTCCTAATAATGCCTAATCACCCTACAGAGAATGCTATGTAGACTATTTTAGAAGAGATGGTGGTAAGGGATGGAGAGTTTTTTGTTTTAATCCAGAAGGATTAAATTACCAGGAACCCTGAAAGAACCCAGATGTAGAAATGACTGACTGCTGCTTAGCTTATTTTACATATATGGTTGCTAGTAACTTATCACCCACACTTCTTCTTTCAATTACAGTGTTTTGTCAAAAAAAGCAATTAAACAACTTACAGATTTTTTATTCTTATTTTGTTTAAATTGAATAATTAAAGAACTAGTCTCAGTACAGACCTGCACTTAAAAATATCTGGTAATGTGGTATTCCTGCTCTGCTCTGATTGTATTTTGGATAATAAGTACAGAATATGTTGACATTTGGAACAGGTGGAGAAAATTAAAATGAAAAATTAAATCAGAAAGAACATGCATAAATTAATACAATGTTAATATTTAAAAGTATGCTTGCACTGCAAGAAAAGTTCAAAAGGGCAGGACAACCATTACATGCAGATTTAAAGCACAAATTGGATGAAAAAACATCTTCCTACTTCTAAAAGGTGTCTTCTCTTGCCCTGCATGCCTCACAAAGGCAGTCTTGCTCCAAACGGACCAACATCTTTAAAGGCTGTTTATACAAGGTGATTAGGGGATGTGGCACACTTATGACTTAACATATTGCTGCACACATAAATTAATATCCCTGTTTACAAAGCATAGCATTAAAGAAACTGACCAGAATCTTCTACTGGCACTTATACTTATTTCAGAGAGCTCAAATTATTATTTTTTTCAGAAAAATGTAGAAACCTGGACAAACAGTTTTATGCTGTATAGAATGGGTTCTGGTTGAATCTCTGTCTTTACTAGTATAGACTGTCTCTTAGCTAGATCAAGGCCACTGTGGACCCTTTAGATTGAAACTGGAGGTTATCTCTGCTCCTTTAAGTGTCTTTTGTTTTATAATTGTAGAAAAAAGAAAACAAGATTGCTTGAGTAATAGTTCACCTTTCAGGCTTTGCTGGTTACATGTACATACTGTATACTGTATAAAAGCCTTCCATGTTTTTTTTTTACGTAGTCAGAACACAATGGTCAAGGAATACACAAAGGCCTTGATGCAATCCTGCTAAAGACTATATTCAACAGGTGTAGGACCACTAAGATATTACAAAATTAGCAGAATTAACTCCTGTACGGTTGCTACACGAAACAAAAGACTGGATAGAAACAGGACAGCCATTACTCTAGACTAGTAAATACCCTGTATGTTATTAAAATTCTAACAAACTGTTTATACATTGTACTTTTATATTAAAATATATATAATTAAAATATATTACTTTATGTTTTTCCTTTAACTGCTCAAACATTAAAAACATGATCAGGACACCAATTTCCATACAGACACTTTGGTATAACACCCAAGATAATTATACAAAAAAAGTACTCATTAACATACTGACAATCAATTTAATAAAAAATAATATTAATATTACTTGAGATATATTGACCAATGGCATGCAAACCCTGCAGTACTGTCCATCATCTCTGAATATAAAATCAACATGCTTTATTATTGGCAACTGTGTGTCTCTTACATAACAAAATTATTGCATGGCGATGTCAAGTTGTGTGTTACTCTAGATATTTCGCCATCATTGAAAAGTGTTAAATGCCATTTAGAATTCAGAGTATTGATTACTCTTACAGTGTATCGAAGACATAAAAGATACAGGTACTTAGGACCTGGAGTAGAAGCTTAAAGAAAACAGAGGTTAGAAAAAATTGCTCTAAACAAAAAAGAAATACCAGTGTTTATAAAGCCTAGTACAAAAATTGCTATCACTCGAATTTTATGAGTGCTTCAAATGCATTTTAAAGGAACCTACTGGAAATACTCATTCTGAATTGTTTTCAGTTCTTCATAACTGTTGATTTTAACAAAAGTCTAGCACAGCTGGCTTTCTTGAGATCACTTTAAGAGTTCAGAGTTAAATGGGAGCAATCTAAACAATCTAAAATTACAGAAATGGCCTCTGGTAGAGAAAAGGTAGAAGGATCATCCTGAACTAGAAAATGTGCTGCATAAAGACGGACAGCAGTGCTTGATCTCTCAGCATGAATGAATTATGAGAGAGGACACATTTATTTTACCACTTGATCTGCAGCTGGTGCTACCTTTGGGTGTACCAAACAGCCAAATATTTAGCAATAACGTAAAGTAATTATCCCTTCCTTCATTACAGCACAACACCTCACCCATAGACATCAATCCTTAGGATGAAGGCTGACAGAACTCCCAAAATTGTTAAACATAAAAATCATGCTGGACATTAATTACCAAAAGAAGGATCCATATCTGGCAGGATTTAAAGAAAGGTTCTAAACAAAAAATGGATCTGTCAATCATAGTCCAATGACTTGCTAAAAAAATACTTTTTTCCTTTTCTTTTCTTTTAATAAAATATTGTGCAATAAATGACGTGTTCCTCTAAGTGCAAAATTTGTCACAATTCACAAACACAAGTGACTCAAGTCTAGTACAAGGTGCTGATTCGTTCTTTTTTTAACATTACGTGTTTATGCTTCACCACTTCTTTTTTCTTCCTATTCATTTTGATAGAAATAAGTGAATGCAAATCAAAATTTTCCTTATCGCACCACTAGGCAGGAGACGCAAAGTTTGGAAGGGCCAATGCAGTCATCGTGACAGAATGCCCCACAACCTTTGCACATGATCATGGCTTTCAGGCGACAGTAACATTTGGATGGAGAGTCGTCCATACTGGAGCTTTCTGCAAATGCCTGCACTGGACCAGCTTCCCCATGATTAGCATGATCTAATGGATGGTTAGCGGGAATTGTGGTGACAGTCACTGAAAAGGACATAACACCCCCACTACTGCTGGACACTGGACTATAGCCTGGAGAACTGCCAGAACCTGCTGAGCTGTGGTTGAGTGCATGAGATGTAGACATATTTATTGTGCCACCATAAATATGTCCAACCACAGGGCCATGACTCTCATAATTTTTTTGCTGGTGATGATGAGCAGCCTGCCAGTGATGGCGGTCCATTCCTGTATGTTTTGGCAATCGATATGGCTCTGAGTTACTATGGGGGTTATTGCCAACTTCAGGATATACTTTATGTGATTGGACAACCCGGTTAATTTCTTTGGCTGTAGCCGCAGCATCTTTGCTGTCTGTTAGGACTGAATCTTCTTCTCTGTCTGGTACCTGTCCAAGTGAAGGAGACTCCCGCTTTATCTTATGACTGTGATTGTGGTCAAGTAATGCACTAGACTTTGTATGACTTGGGCTCGTTGCAGTGTAGGAGCCATCACCCAGACCCTGATGCTCTTTCTTGATTCCTGTGAGATCAGGTTGCCCTTTTACATAGTCATTTGGACTTTTGAATGGCTCTTCCCCTTCATCAGGAGTAATCTCCCCATCTATACATTCTTTCTTCAGGTTGGCCAAAGGGGCATTTATGGACAGGTGAGCACGTTTGTAGCTCTCAGATCCTCTCCCATAGGTTGAGATGTTAAGAAGGTAATGTCCCGACATAGCAGGCTTGGACATCCTCTTCCGACCCATGAAACCCATGGCAAAACTCTGGCTACGTGAGCACTCAGCTGGATAACCAAAGTGACAGATCTCATGCTGCAAAAGCTGTGACCCAGTAATAAATTGTTGAGTCTGTGCTCTTTGCATAAGGGTCTGCAAAATCTGTTCTTGGGTGGCCTTGTTCAGCATTTCCCGATGATGTTGGGCGAGTTCCATGCCACCTGTCCTTGTTGAAATAAGCTGGTTGGGCAGCAATTGCCTTGCTTTTTCGAAGGCATCTGTTCCAAGTCTGGAATGATCATCACCGCTTACCACAGTATCAGTCTCTGTGGTGACATGAGATATTTTCCCTTTATCACCCGAGGGCAGAATGATTGGCTTGACGTCTATTTTTGTGTGTGGTTTTGGGAGGATCTGCTCAAGTGGGACTTCTTTTCCTTGAAGTAGCTGTGTGACCAGGGGGTTATTAGCTGGAATTGAAGAACTGGTCTTAGTTACATGCCCTCCACCTACTGGACTCTCTGATGCTTTTTGACTCAATGTACCGGAAACACTGCTCAAAGCAGGACGTGTAACTGACATGCATGAGAGTGGAGCTGTTGGAACTTGTGTGCCCAAGGACACATTTGAATTTGATGCCTGATGAAGCATTTGAGACCCCACTTTTTCCATAGTTGAAAGAGCACTTGGCTCTTCAAGAGATGCTTTCCAATGTTTGTTGGCCTCTGTGTTTTTGCCATCGGTGGCTGGTGGTTTCTGTTCCACTGTCTGGACCACATCTATTGGAAAGGGAACAGACTTTGATTGTTCTTTTCCCGTGGTTTCATTACAACTTGAGATCTGGGACTGCTGTGTTGATGGATTTGATAGAGATGCTGGATTTGAACAGTTCCCTAGGGTGGAAAGCCTCACTGAAGGTGTGGCGGCCTGTGCAGTGTTTGCAGATAATGAACTGAGGGTTGAAGTAGTACCGCTGGCTCCGGCCTGTGACGTGGTAGTCTGCTGTAATTGTGCTCTAGAATCACCGACGGAACCGGGAGAGATCTTGATCTTGGCGTCTGGACAGGAAGGTAGAATCCCTCCCGCAGTTCCCCTTCCTCCAGCTCCTCCCAGTTCTGCTCGGGGAGTGAGCGCCTCTCTGACTGCAGTCCCAGTGTGGCTGGCTCCCCCCTGTGCCCCGCCCCCTCCCCCAGGCCCCGGTCCGGGCACTGCACCCCCCGAGGAAGATCCCGCGGCGGCCGCTGCAGCAGCCGCTGCTGCCGCCGCCCGCTGGGCCCTGGCCAGTTGGGCCTTCGCCTTGATGTCTGCCAAGGTGCGAGCCCCTGTGCGCCCAGTACTGGGAAGGGAGGCTGTGAATGGGGCCCTGGGAGAGACCTGACCCGTGACAGTTGCAGCTGTTAATATCCGTGACACCGGGATCTGCACAGAACACAAAAGAAGACCAAATTACAGTCCCATTCGCAGTCAAGAAGCAGTGTTTTCCTGAGAGGACGTTTTCCCTAAAACATGTATTTCAAAATCAGATCTGACACAAAACCGTGTTTCTGCATGAACTGTATAAACAAAATAAAATGTACAGAGAAAACAGATCTTTCCGTTTCTGAATAATTCTGAAAATACAGACAAATACCTGCATTCAGACGAACACCTGATATTGAAGCAAACAGGATATCTTCTCTCACTTAAATTCTCTCACTTAAATAGCAGAAATTCCACGTGTGAAAATAACATTTTCCTTGTAAATATATCTAAACTATATTTGTGCACGTATTGTGTCTTAATGGACAACTTTAAAGGGCTCTGTAGTTTAAACCTTACACATGAGACTTACACAAGAGTGAAGGCAAATATAAGTTAATACTGTACATCCCAAATCCCAAATTAGAAGTATAATATTCTGAATTTTGAAAGAAATGTTCTTCTGCTGTATTTGTTCAATCTGACCATAATTCAAACAGAAGATGGAGTTATGGGAAATGATTCTAATTGCAATATATATTCTGGTACATTTTGAATTCAGGTTTGAGTCCAGGCAATACTTTGTCAGTTCTTCAAATGAGGAGAGAAAGCTTAAGTAAAGGAAAAGTAAAGGCTGAAAGTCCTTTCTTACCTTGAGTGGAGGTACCCTTGGCTTTGCAGTATGTTCCATGCTGTCGGAAGAGCTTTTGGGAGGTGCCTCGCAGACACGGGCCCTCTTCTCTGGGCTAGGCAGCACCTCCTCCAGGTCAGTGGATGACTTTCTCTTCAGTCCCTCCAGAGCGACCTCCATTTGCTCAGCGCCTGGCACCTTCATGGGGCTCACACTGCTTGGGCTGTCTGTCAGCATCATGGCAACTTCCTTCCTGTCAGGGCTGGCCTTGGGAGTTGTCTGAGGAGACATGCGTGTCTTAGATCCATCCAGCTCCTGCTGGTCTTTTGTCACTTTCACGGTTTCCGTGTCCATTGTCTCCTCTGTCTTCACTTGAGCAGCGACCACAGTTTGCGTTGGCTGAATCAAAGCTGTTTTTTCAGATGCCGGTGCCTCAGGTAGCCTCTCAGGGACAGCTCTTGCCTTGGCTTTGGATTCATCATTGCCGGGCTCTGGTTTCAAGCTTTCTGATGTCCCGGGGGGTTGTTTTCTTTCATCATCTTTACTTTCTGTGATGCTGGCTTCCAGTCTGGGCTCAGCCTTTGCCTCGCTTTTCACAGGAGGTACCTGAACTGAGGGGCTGGGAGAAATGTGCTGCCTGCCAGGCTCTGGAGTGTCACGGAGTGTTGCTGTCAGCTTTCTGGATTCCTCTATGCTGATTCCAGAACTGGAATGAAAAGCAGAATAAAATATAAGACAAACACAATCAGAAAAGCTGCAGCTGCCATTGAGGAACAGTATAATTCTTTGGAAAAGGGAAGAACATTTTAAGAATGGGCTGGGTGGCAAATAGCATATGTCTTCAGTTATGAAAAATAAATGGTTTATTCTTTGAAACTGGTTCAGTTTTCTGCGGTGTAGCTCTGATCATAGGCCCAACTCTGTTTGGTGGGTTAACCACCATAAAAGTGCTATGAATTACAAATGCTGCAGTACAGTATGTTTGCTACAGGACTAAGTCTACAATGAACAGTATGTTCACAGCATGTACAACCTTAAAGACGTTATTTTGTATTTCATTTTTTCCAGAGAAGGCATACAGTAGATCCTGGAATTGATGTAAAGCTTGGAAAATATGATTTGTTCACTTAGCATTTTACAGTATGTGCATTAGGATCAGAAGAACTTGTTTGTTTTTTAATTGAGAGAAAATAGTCAAGATTGCCTTTTTCTTCTATTTCACATTATAAACGTGTCAGTCTTCCTGATAAATAAGATAAAGAATATACCCCACATCTAACTATCACATTTTATATTGAATTAAGTTTTATATTTCATAATAATTTATATTTTATTCAATTTTATACAAAGTATTTTATAATGAAAATATAAGGGTTATAAAATGATGTGCGTATTTCACATGACTTAATCTGAGCATTCCCTACTGTTTAATGAATTAAGCTCCAGTAAAGAGAACCAGTGAAATCAGTTTAATCAGTTCACTATATAATAGTGCAAATTGTTTTACAAAAATGACCAACACATTTATTTTATACAGGACGATGACAATAATTTGAATAGTTTAGTTACATCCCTGTTTATTTAAAAAAAAAAAACAATGTTAGCTCATTCTTAAAAACAAATCATCATTTATTACAGCAGAGATCAGTTGGCCACTCCAACCTGTTTTAAACGATTCTCTCACTACTCCTGGAGGACCTGGATCCTTGAACAACAGAGCCCTAAAGGGCTCAAGGACTAGAAAACTGTACTGCATTTGTGACTCAAAAATTCTTTATCACATGAACACCTCTGACCTGAATGATGCCCATAAGCTGGACAAAGACATGGTGATAACTACGCTTTCTCCTGATTGGGGAAGTCAAAGGTAAAAGGGAGGATTCATGGAGCCATCAAGAATGAAATCATCAACTTTCTACACAAGTTCCCTATTGGCTTTTTCACTCAAATCGGGGAATCAATACACCTATGTGACTTCCACATCTACCCCTACTCTAGAGTCAGATGACGAAACCAAGGGAGAGTTCCAAGCCAGGCTTGTCCAAATTCTCGTGAAACCTTCTACTTGGGGACTTCAGGGCCAGAGTAAGAAGAGATGCCAGTCGCTGGATTAGAAGAAATGGCATGAAAGAACTAGGAAATATCAACCCCAATGGCAATCTTATTCTTACCTATTGCCATAAACATACTGAAAAAACTACTTCTAGTTTCGACTTCTAGACTGTTAGCTGTCTTATTAATTCAAATTAAGCAGCGATGGTCTGTTGTTTTTCCTTTATTAGGGCTTCACTAACTTACAGTGTGACACAAATGCACAGTATACAGTATATAAGGAACACTCTTACTTATTAACTTACATGTTCTGTAAGTCAACAATATGTACTGTACATACTGTATATATGTGTGCAAAAAAGCAAAACATTTTACAGGAAATGTCCCACTTAAATATAATTATTGCTTGTAGTCCTTTACATAAATTTAATTTATTTGTTTTCTTTGCTATTCCTGAAGGAAAAGGTTTGGGCTCGAAAAGCCTGAAAGTACTAAATGGTAGAGAAAGCTGTATACACTACTGTTTTACAACCCCCTGTATCTTTGAAGTATGGGAAAAAGACAGCTGGCAAATTGAGTTATGCATCTTGTCTTAAAAGTTCTCCATAAATCAATATTAAAGAGTTTTTAGAAGCAGTCTATGTGACAGTTATTAGCTGTAAGGATAGAACATACTGTATTACGGGGATTTTTTAAAATTCCTTAATTGAAACACAGATTTATAGTATGCTTTCCTGATGCTATTGAGTCTCTAATTAGTCGCAGGCTACAATTAGAGACAGGAGGTAAAAGCCTGGCACAGTCCCAGACTGAAAAGGGTTTGATGGCTTTCTTGTTGTGTGCTTTGAGATGATTCACAGTTCAAAGTCAGTTCAGGAGCTTAAAACCAGTGGTGTGTTAATGTTGTCTGAAGCAAATGGAAGGAGAAAAATGACATTAAGGTTCGTCGTGCTCATGACTTTTATGAAGGTTCACAGCTTAAAACCATAGTAAAACCACAATATGAAAATACTTGAATTTTCGAAATATGAATAGCCCTCTTATAATGAGGTATATTAACAGTATATATGAGGTATAACTTTCAGAATTTTTGTCAGGTTACTTCTTTCATATAAAGCTAGCAGGGAATTGGCACCACTGGAAATAAATTTGACAACCGACAATAACCCCTTCTGAGTCCAAAATTTCAGGTCATCGTTTTGTATGGGCTGTTTTTGATGATGAAGTGGACTGCAATGTTTTGCAGCCTGAAGCATGGTTGAATGTCAGCTTTATGCTTTTATCACCTTCATTGATACTTGCATGATGCTCAAAACTGAGCTTTCAGATTTGAATGCTAGTTTAGAGTAAGCTGCGCTCTTGTGCTTTGTGTATTGTTGCAGCTTTGACAAAGTTTTAAATTTAAATATGCCACAGCAATCCCAGCAGTGGAGTTTGAAAGTCTACGTTCCGGGTTTTCGAAGGAAGTCATATTTGTTTCAGTCAATACTGATCTTGTTGCTGTACAATATCTACAGTATGTTGGACTTTTTGAACAATTTCAGACAGCCCAAAAATCTAGCCTGATCTCTGCAATTGCAGTTCACACAACAAGACTAAGGACATCAAATGTGCTAATACTGTTAAAATATAATGTTCTTCACATACATAAGGAGAAATACTGGAAAATTAGGACTGTCAATATAAGGTGACGATTATTTCAAGGCTATGTTGTATGGGAGCACATACAGGCTTATACTGGACTACGATGCGTTTCTAATTGAATAGAAGATGTGTTTTGGTGTACTTTAAAACTCTCTGATACTGTACATAACTGATATTTATCTTAACGGCAAGACAGAGTCAACCTCTTTAGCAGTACAATAATAGAATGTCTGTATTTACAGATGTTATTACAGCTTTGCTCAGTGTGCTGAAATGAAGACTTGTTGTACAGGTTTGGAATATTATACTGTTTTTACAAGGTAACTGCCTTCAACACAACATGCAGGTCTTTTTACTGCATGAACAACTTCCTCCTATCTAGATATAAGTATCACACTATTTGCTCATGTCAGTTCGCATCCCTTCATTAAAAAGTGTGTGTCTGTGGAGGGGGGTTCTTATGTTTCTTATGCTTGTGCTGGTGGATTGTCCTTCTCCTCACCCAGAAGAGTTACCCCAATGAAATTCACTATTTGAACTAAGTGTCTTACCCGTCTTTATTAGGGTTTAACCAAACACACAGAAATTGTAGTAATTGTAAAAAGGATATTTTGTACATTCTTAATACAAATTGTCACTGTTGTTTTTGTTTTCAGGATTAAACTATATTTCAGCCCAAAAGCAAATAGCAATTGACCTTTAATGTACTGCTCCATCATATTTTAATTCATTGTGTTGGCCAGTTGCACTAAGCCATGATAAGTTCACAGAGGAAAAAGACTATTTCATGTGGAAAGGCCTATGGCCTGCTGTTCAATGACTATGTAAAATCTGCACTGATAAAAGCACAAAATTTAACTTTCAAGAGGTGATATTTTTTTCAAATTTTCTGAAGAACCTTGAGGAAGTGATTACTGACAAAGCAAAAATAATCCTAAGTGAAATGAAAAATGACAAACTGTCCTCATAAAGTATATATTGTAAAGGTTATTTTGTGTTCAGCAGTAACCTTGGAAATGCATGTATTGAAATTATGAAATGATTCAAATGAGAAATTGTCAAGTTCAATATGAATAACACAAGAAAATTATACTTAGGTTAAATTTCACACTGACTGCTGCTAATAAATAGACCTCTTTTCAAATTATATTGTGCATGAACCATGACAATATGGGCACTAACACTATACCTGAACTAAAATGCTAACTCTCCTATTATCTGATGTAGACTGGAACAAGAGGCTGTCATTCCAGAAGGATATATGATGCAGAGCTATGAAATGAAAGTATTAACTTATAACCTATAATTATGCTGCATGTACTGTCTTAACAAACACATTCAGAATTCAGGTTATCCCTATGCTGACAAAAACAATTCAGTTAATTCAGGATTGAGTTTGAGTGAACTACTGTATCAGATGTGGAGTTTTTTTTACCCATCATCACCAAATATCAATGATCACCCAATTTTTCACCGTTCGTGTTGAAATGGCAGAAATTCACCTCAACAACAGTGATCCAATCCTGAGCAGATTACAGTATTAAACGCAAAGGAGTGTCCTTCAGTTTTGCCTGCATTTCATGTGAAAGTCTCATGTCTTTCAATTACACCAGATGAGAAGCTGCTGCAAAAACACTGCACCAAAATCAGCACTCTATCCCCGAAACAATAAGTAAAACCAATACAGGATGGCTATGTGGGATAATTATTTTTTATGAACCTATATAATAGAAATGTTTCCATTTTGACTGTGGTGTGATTTTATCAATTGGATCCAAATGACAACCCCAGAGTGGGAAGAAATCTGAAAAAAGACATTCTTTAAAAAAACTTAAATATCTTACTTTTGGCCATAGTAGCTCTCGAAAAAGCGTTCCTTCCACTGCTCCACTTTTTTTTCTTTCTCGATCTCCTGCCTTATTCTCAGGCGCATCTCAGGGGTGAATTCACCTGAGTAAATAGGAAAGCAAGAACATCTTATAGTTATGGTTATTTTATTTGTTTTATGTGCATTGACTGAATGGAGAACCTATTGTCAAAGAAAAAAAAAAGCTTTTAAACCCATGGTGTAAATGAAGTGAAGGTATTGCCTGTTAGAATACACTGCATGTACTGTATTGTATTCTAAAGTTCACTGATCAGCCAGACATGAGTAAATGCAATAATATAATTACTGTACAGTTTATGAAATAATATTTCTTCTCAGAACTGTCTGAGAGATATAAGAGTATACTCCTTATTCAGTCTCTTTAATACACAGGAAATATGCATTGGTCTCCTAAGTATAGGCATTAAACATACTGTATATGGCAACAGTTCGTGTTACAATTAATGTTAAAATCTTTTTTTAACTTGAATAATTGAACTGAATTTAATTTTAAAGTAAAGTAAAAAAAAATGTAAATCCTTTCTGTTAGGAAAAAAAAGCATCAGTGTTTCAGAGCGTCAGACCAAAAAATCTGTCTTGAGAAAGACAGCACATTAAAATCTATAATTACGAAAAGCACTTTTACCTCCTTAAGGCCCATTTAGTTTCTGATCACACTATCTTGTCTGTTTTTAAAGGACTTCAGAGTGCTATCTTCAATTACATGATTTTCTGCCTCTATTTGCTTCTCCCTTGTGTGTGACTGCCCTTCAGATAGATCCAGAGCTATCTATACTCGATTCCAGCTGCAGTCCTTTCCATGTGTGGAAGACCAGGAATGATCCTAGCAATTGTTTTCAGTGAGCTCAAACACTGAAAACAAATCATATGTGTAAATGGAAGGGCATATTAATCAATGTATACTAAAATTAAAAGGAAAAGATACATTTTCAGAAAAGGGTCAACTTTCACATGCAGAGAAAAAATTAGTATTACTCCTTTTTTTACACCAAAATTTAACTAAACCATCAGTGCTAACACAGTATATGTATCATCATAATAAAAGTGTACCCTGCAAACACCATCATATTCTATGTGTGAAGACAAACCCCCAAAACAATTTTTTCCATAAAAAAAATGCATGATTTTTTTTTTCCCACAGACGTAAACTGGGCTTGGAATCTAAGGTAAAACACTACATCTTTTGACAGGTTCCCAAAATTCCTCCAACATAAGAGTTAAAGTCAAAGCTAGACCCTTTGATTACAACATACAGTAATAGCTGCCTCCGAGACACCTGACTAAAAAATACATATTTATGAACTACTGAAGAGGTCACGGTAAAGAATCCTAACACTTCCGAGTTTGCTCTATTAAAATGAAGAAGTTGTTGGTGAACGTGAATTCTTTTTCACATTTTACACATTGATTTTATAGATATAGATTGCATTTAGATCATGCAAATGATACAGGTTGCTTTAAAAGGTACCTGAGCCTATTCAAACTATTTTATTAGGGCATCCATTTTTCAATTTCTTATAGCATAGCAATAGTATATACTGTAATGAGGCCCTAACATTTCCCACTTTCCCAGTTTTTTGTTGTAAACCTTAATCATGTTTATGTAAAACTTTACATTTTCATATACTGTAACACACATCCAATGTATGATTCTCTTCTCACCATCATTAACCAAACTGTCAAAACTCAAAATTCTCCTGTTTTTCGTATCTCTTTTCCACCACTTAACACAAAAAATAATTTACCAAAAGCTTCTGTACAGTCATTGGGGTGTAATAAAATAATTACACATAGTGATTTAATTGGAATAATTCATATTAAGTTTTCAGCTGTGTATACAGTATGTTAATCCTTTCATGGCATTTATCTCTCTGAAAGGTCCTCTGCTGTCCCATATTCCTGCCTAATTTGTGGAAGATACTGTACCACAATGTCAGAGCCCACTAGTATTTACTGCAATTACGCACACAAGAACGTGCTGCATCTTTCACAATTAGTTCAAATCAAATATCCTTCTGGGACTGCATCCATGCAGATAAAAAGCAATTATAAAAAAATACAGACCCTGTTATACATTTTATTATTCTCTTCTCTGATTAGTTTGCAGGACTACATAATTAATACTACAGGGGTTCTGAAAGGAGATATTTCAGAGCACTGAACCATCCATCAATTCATTTTCTAAATCAATACCCAGTACAGTGTCACGGAGACACCAGAGCCTCACCTGGCAAGCAATGGGTTCAAGGTGGGATACACACTGGACAGGATGCCAGTCTGTCACAGGACACAGACCCAAACACTGTTACAGAAGCCAATTAATTGACCAGAACATATTTAGACCGTGGGATGAAACCAGAGCACCTGGAGAAAACCCATGCAAACATGGGATAAACATTAAAACTCTGTACAGATAGCACCCCATGAATTGAACTCAGGACTCCCAGAGCTGTGAGGCAGCAATGGTAATCACTGTGACACCATGCCACTCACTCCTTGTTGAACAGCAGATGATTACAAACTAGTCGGTCATTTGTTTGCCATTAAATGCAAGTACAAGGGTTATGCAGAAATCTAACAGAATAGTCAGAAAGCACAAATGACTATTTAAATAATACATTTTTAATTAAAATTTCATTTAAAGTTCTACATTTTCATTGGAGCTGTATGTGTATTCTAATATTTTATTCACTAAAACATTTCATTTGGAAATGAGAAATTAAGAGTCAAAGTCAGATTTCATCAATACCCACCTTCTGCTAGTCTTTCCTTCCATGACTGGGCTGCAGATGTGAAGAATTCATTATTCAGTGCAGAACTGCTGAGCTTCAGTACTCCATCTGCACTAGCCTAACAGAGGTAAAGAAAGGACAGCAACCATATTAACAGCATTGCAACTGCACTGCCATTAAAACAATAAACTACAGTACCTAGGTAGAATGGAAGCCTATTCTTATGTACCATCTAAGGAGAGAAAACAAAAATCAATCTTTATTTTCCATATCATGATTAAACATTAACAACTCATGCACAAAGTAAGAGAAAAATACATTATAATTTTTCAGAATTGCTTAAAAAACTGTCCCCAGTTTTGAAACTTGAAGAAGATATCTGATTAGTTATGTCTACAAAACACATCAGTCCATTTTTGCAAAACATGAATTATTTCAGCAATAAGGCACACTATATTCTACACAGAACTACTGACGTTTCAGAGTATTAGATTTTGGTAATGAAAATCCATGCTTAGATCCCCAATCAGATGGCTTCTATCTCAATAATAAAGACATTGCCATCCCTATTTTTAAGGGGAACAGTATCTTCACAGACATTTTAAAAGGGGGAATACATCTATTCATAAACAAGACCACTCTTGTAACAAGAACGAATCTTTGTGTTTATTTTAACAAGGAGAACGGTGTACCTTCCTGATCAACCCCAATTCAAGCACTGTTTTCCATTAAACAAATAAAATAAGCAAAATCACAATCTCAAGGTGGAAGGCTCTAGTAGTTAATTTAACAGACAGAATGGAACCATGTCTAATGACCCAACAAATTTTAAATTTCATTAATTGTTAAGTACTTGTTTCAGCATCAAACTAGACCAGTAAAACCTAGACTTAGCTGCTTATTCTTGTGCTCTGTGTGCTACACTTTTGCACTGCTACACTTCTTTATTAAGTAACTCAGCCTTTAGGTCACAAACTTGCAAATTCTTAAGCAGACAAACCACTATAGATCCAGCAGTGGTAGACAATATGGTGTGTTTTGCAATTGTTAATACAGTAGGTCTCTAGCACTCTGTGTCCACAATTACAGAAATAACATATAGTATAGTACTTGGTTAATACTCTAGCTGCGTTATGATACAGGTGCTTCACTAATAAAGGAAAATGATAAAACAAACAGCATAGGTCCATGAAATACTAAGCTGTTATGTACAGTGGAAAAAGAGAATAACTGCTCGAAACCAAAAGTGAGCACAAAAATGGAATTGTTTTTTCAAATATATTTTATTGGGGCACCTAATTAGTTCAACCCTGTGAATGAACATAAAGAGCCAAGTGCCCTGAAATCCTTAGCGAGGAAAAAAGAACAAGGTGATAATCGAACATACTGTACCTCAACGCGAGTAATATATTTAGTACGCCTACAATGTAACGATCAGCCTTTTCAATCAATACCAGGGAAATTAATGGAAGGAAACAAAGAATCAAAGTTTTCATACAAACATGGTTTTTATGCCTACTAAAATCAAAGAGATAAAAGACATAATCAGATTAATGCAAGCTCAAGTGAGTGACTTCAAGAAAAAGTTAGACCAGACCCCTTTCTGTGGGAAAGACTCAGCAAGGACGACCTAGGGAATTCTCAGCCTCCAGAGATCTTACTGTACTCTTCAGCTAGACCACTTATCAAGAATACATTTGAATGAAATAACATTGTTCATAACAAAATAAGATTTAAAATGTTAATTACCCCGTATAAAGTAATACAATAATAATTTAAATAACAACATAAGATGTACAATGATAATATTACATGAGATGGGATCACGATGACAAAGAACAACAACATCACAGCTGTATTTTTAGTTTGTTTTGATTTTATCTATGTAAACCTACAGTAAAAATATATATGATTCCAACTTTTGCCACAGAATTAATCTGTATTTTTAAAGCAACATATTAAAATATCAGATTGTTAGTAAGAGAATGATAATAGCTAACATATTGACTATCTAAGACTCACTGGATTCCACATTATTTTTCAGCTTTTAACAGATGACATCATAACAAAATAAGTCAGGATTGTACACTTCTACGATCCTCCAAAACTTTCTGGGTTTTAATACAACCCAAGAGAACAATGGGCTGTTAATACAATGGAACACCTTTATATAAAAAGTGTAACTGCAATGCATTCTCCTGATTGAAGACATTTGTGATGCATTTTCTAGCCTTTACAATAAAGTCCAGCTGCCACTTACTAATAACTGAATTCAAAGTTAAAACACCTGTCCTTTATTCACACTCATTTAGTATTCATTAGAAACCTTGCCTTTGTAAAGCATTCCCCTCCTGTTGCCAATCAAGTAACTAATGAATTTTATCTCTGGCAAATGCTGGCTTTGAGGAAAACTGCAACAGAATACAAATAACCCTCTTAACACAACAGATGGGGATAGTTTGTTCTTCAACACTCACTATAACAAAACCCATTAAATGAGCCCTATATCATTTGCCATGAACAATTTATATGGTATTATATTGCCATGTCTGGAAACAGATGTATGCAAAAATGTACTGAAAAATCCTGGCTGTCAATATGCACCATAATGCACCTTGGACATTCTGCCCATCAGTGACTCAAAGAAAAAAAATGAAAGTCTGTACTTGGCCCTATTATATCCTCAGCACAATTCCATTGAGACTTCCTGTAACACCCTAAAACCAAATGACATTTGGAAGTGAATGGACAAGGAATAAATTCTCGCCTGGGGGATAATTATCACTGGCAACACAGCTTGAAGTGACAGGCAAGCCAGGCATTCAAGATATGGCTGATCTGGGCACTGGCCAAGGCTAGCGCATGTTCTTTGAAGGGAAATGTTAAAACATTAAATATAGTTCTGATATTTATACTCCCAAAGCTAAAGGAAAGCTATGGTAGAATTGAATGACTCACTGCTATTGAGCTGTTGTGGGATGAAGTGGAATGTGCCATGAGCTCATAACTGTCACAAAAAGATGACTGAGTTTCATCAAATCGTTTGGTGGTGGTGGAGGGGTGTCAACAATAAGAAACAAGTAAACTCCTAGACCATCATATAACTCTTTTCAACTTGGGCTAGTGAATCGAAAAACTGAGGGTTTCAGAAATGCAAAAGGGCAAAATCTGGTTTCACATCCTAGTACTTTAAACAGAACACCTAATCATGCTTTGTAAAATGCAAAAGATCATGTCTTGTCAGTGATTGCCTGAGCTGTGTTAGGACCAGCTTATCATCACAGAGAAGATAAAAAGAATTGGAAGAGAAGGTAGAGATTTTTAATAAAGCCCTATGTCAGAAATAACTGTTAATTTTGCACACTGAATGAAAAGATTTCTGTCTGACTGCTAAGGTTGGAAGAAACACATCTATCTGAAATATTTCACTATTATACGGCAGAACCAATAATGAAGTGAAACAGCCTAAGGTTTGAAGAAGAGTGAAGCGCGCTGATCCCTCATCCTTTATTAAAAGCAAATGTTGCCCTGTTGCCAATGCTTTCAATCCTGACTCCTAAGAAAGAAACATTTAGCCCCAAATCTATTTCAGTGATTTCTTGTACTTGAGAAACTGCCTGGATATTTGCAGCCTAGTAGGGAAATGGTAATATCGCACTTGCCAAAGTGGGAGTTGAGCTCACATCTTTCCAGCTAAGAGTCTAGAACCCTAACTACTACAGGCTCGAAATCATAAGGGAGCATTGAGACTTCTAAATTTCTCGAACGAATAACACTTCCTACATTAACTTCTAGTGTGCTAAGAGTTTGCGTCAGCCACAGCGAATATAAAACATTAAAGCGTTGGAACAAGTAAGTCATGATACCAAAACATTATTAAACTTCAAAGCCATCGACATTACGGATAAAGCCTTGGATGAGTCAGATAATCTGACCGACTTGAATCGGTACTTCCAGATTCAACAAGATACTTTCTGAGAACACCACAATGGTAGAATCTGAGTCAACCGCCGAGACACTACATTTGCAGTACTGGGACAGTTCTAACACATGGGGGACATTTGCTAATGTGAAACCTTGGGTTATTCACACCACTGGCTGTTTTATGTGGTGGAGTATCACTTCTATCATCATATATATATAAGGAAAATGCAGTGATTTTGATGCAGTTCAGAGTTACTCTGAACTGCATCATCCATAACTGAGGTTCAGTATTAATCCATAAATATAGTTTGTTGGCCTCTCCTTTACAGCATTTTAATTGAAACTTTTCACCTGACTGTACTACAAAGCAACGTTGTCTGACAGAAGTGACTGCATTCCAAAGCTGCTGTGTCACTAGGTAAAAACCAAAAATCTTCTTTGTGCTCTGGGCTCAGTACTTTAGTAAAGGAGATTAAGGGAAGCCTATGGCGTGTCAACAAGTAAACACATTTGACTAAATTCTTGCTTTGAAGGAATGTAGTACCTAAAAACAATGATACAAAAATAAAATTCTTATCACAACGTCTACCATAAACTGGTTGTCTGAAGAACTAATGCAATCTGACATTTTATGAATCTGGAAAATAGACTTAAAATTACATTATCAATGACTGGTGAGACAAAAAATAAACACTACTGATCCCTAAAAATGCAGTTTTGGTGTCAATCCATTTTCTGCATTCTAAGACCTGTTTTATGCATACTACACCTGTAGCTTACAGCTCTATTTTTTGCGTTTCGATGTGCTTCAACCATGAAACATTACTAAGAGGGTTTTGCTGAAGTGGGTTACAAGGGATGCTCCTCCAAAGGCAGGACAGCTGTTACCATGCTTTAAGCACCAGACCATGAATTGTCAACATATTTTTTGAACTGATACAGAACAAGAAAAAGGACCATACAGAGAGACTGACCTGTCTGTCGACCTCTGGGAGGAGGTGTAAGAGACGGTGTTGACAGTCTGGAGGTAACACTGAGAACGTGTGCTTGTTTATCAGGGCCCGCAGGTTGGTGTTGACCAAGATGGAGTCTGGCGTTTCCACGTCAATTTCCGCACACTTTGTACGTTTCAGCTGCCCTGAACCAAAGAAATAAGAAACACGTTACCACTGTCAAATGCTGTCACTTATCACCACTGAGAGTATGACACTTTTGGATTTTGAATCAATAGTTTATTGCCAACTCCCTGGGTATTATAGAGGGTTTTATGATTTATATATTTCAGTTTAATTAAAAACAAATCCTCTTGGTTTATTTGGTTTATTTATTAGAAAGCTATGAGGGGGTTTGCTTCATTATATTGTGAACAATAAGAGTGACTTTTCATATGCATTTACACTACTCTTACATAGGACATACTTGATATTTAGAAATGTTTTTTAGGAAAGCAGAAAGATTCAAACAAAAGGAGGCCCGTGCATATGGTTTTATTTCTCTATTACCCGTAATCTGCAATTGTTGGAACAAACACCTTGAAGAATGAATTCCCTTTGGGAGCCTTCCTGGAAAGGGACAATGTCAGAGTAACTGATGACACCTATCCTGCGTGTGTTTGGTAGGTGGGAGGAAATACCAGCGCCAGTGAAAGCACATGCATACATGGGCAGAAAATGTAGATCCTGAGCTGGAATCCATCCCAGGACTGTGGAGCTGTGCTGCCCCTATTTATCTGAATATTAATTTGAGTTTTTACAGAACTATAACATAACATAAAAACGTGTTCATGTGGGGTTATTTATAAAATATTTATTTATTTATAAATAAAATTTATTTTTCACTGGTCAGTTGTAGACCAGTCCAAGAGGGAACCATGAGTCATGAAGGATAGGTCTCTGTTTCACTGAGAAGTCCACAATGCATTTCTGCATGGTCTCTGGGGTGGACAAAAATGCCCCAGATTGTCCATTAGAGTGTTTCAATTCCCACTAAGACTGCACATTTATTGCTCACTGCATTTGTTCAGAATTCAGAATGTATATATTCCACATATTCAATAAACAACATATTTGGAACATGAAAGCATTATTACTCCTGTAAAAGTCTGAAAGCTAAATGTGGCATGTTACACATGTATTAAAAATCCATCAGAAATATTAAAGAAAATAATGCTGAATTCACTTCACTTGTACTCGGGAGGTGTTCAGCAGTGCAGTGCTGCAGAGAATGGGTGGAATTCAGGTTTTGCTGATGTTTATGTGAACAGATGCTGACAACTGGTCAATTCCACTGGACTGCACACGTACCAGCTTTGTGACTAAAGGCCTGTATTACTGTATATTTGGTTTAATTTAGTTTTACTGTTTGTCTATATGTTATCCAACAAGTAGGCAAGTCAGAATAGATCATTTTATGAGCTTTATAATAACGTGGAATTCGTTTGATTCAAAACAGTTGACGTCTATATGCAATTTCACTGAACATACAGCACCAGGGGTGGTCAGCCCTTGTCCTGAAGACCACAGCAAGTTTTATGGATCACTCTCCATCATTGCTGTTCCAACAACTTTAATTTCTATGCAGCCGGAACAGTTTTATTTTGACCACTTACGCAGGTGGTGTTTCAATTAAGTAATTTAGAGATTATCCATCCATTTTGAAACCTAATTTCTTCAATTGTCTTCCAATTCAGGGTCGCGGGAGAGCTGGGGCCTATCCCAGCAAGGGTACCCAGGCAGGTTACACCATGTCTTCAGACTGCGGGATGAAACCAAAGCATTCAGACCCATGCAATCACAGGGATAACATACAAACTCCATGTAAATAGCACCCCAGACAAAGATTTGAACGCAGGGCCCCAGGGCTGCAAGGCCGAAATGCTAACCACTTCGCCACTGTGCCGCCCAATTTAGAATTCATATGAAATTAAAAACAGCCAAATGTCAACGTCCACAGTTAGCTATGGGTTAACATCACAGAACCAATTTACTTCCTAAACTGATCAAAACTTCCGTGTCCCAGGTCTTGACAAAATTTAAAATTTAAGGCTGACTACCAAGATCTGCTCGATCATGGGTCTCCAGGACCAATGCTGGCCACCCTTGGAGTATACAGTAGTCTTGGAGTTGGGGAATGTCATTTCTTTAAACAAGCAGGTATTTTTAAATGAATGCATTAACATAGAAATGATGATTTGTACCATCTGTCTTATTCTGGTTGCGTAACAATGCAGCAACACAGAAATGAGGAGAGCAGCTACTGACAATTTTTAAGTGAAGTGAGCAGATATGCATACAAGCAGCATTTTTTAAACACATAGAATTGTCAGACAGCACATTGCATTGGTTTTAGCAGCACTGTTTTGTTTCTCAGTCTTTCACTTCATTGGTCTACCAGCCAACTATTTGGGAGCTAGGACGTTGTGACAAGGGGTGGTACGTTGGTACAGTGGTTATCATTGCTGCCTTGTAGTGCTGGGGCCCTGGGTTCAATTCCTGTGGTGCTGTCTGCATGGATTTTGTATGTTCTCCCCACGATTGTGTGGGTTTCTTCTGGATCCAGTTCCCTCCCACAACTGGCTTCTGAGAAAACTGGTCCTGGTGCGAGTGTGTGCATGCTTGTGTCTGTATGCAGTATGTGCCCTGCAATGGACTGGTGTTCCATCCAGGGTGTATCCTGCTTGTCACCTACAAGCCTGTATTGGATAAAGCAGTTAGAGAATGCACAGATGTTGCGACAGATGTAGCAATACCACTACCAGGATTCGATCACAGCCACTCAATGTCACCCCTGACTTCATAACCACACTATAAACCATGCGAAAAGATGGGACTGCAGGGGAATTTAGTGCTCTAGAGATTATGAAGGATCTCATAATCTCTCATGTCATCTTCTGTATCAGGCTCAGTGCCACTAAGCATAGTTGTGTATAATGTGCAGCATTCGTTTGGTTTTCTACATTTCATTTTCATATAGAAAATGCTGCATAGTCACCACAAAAAAGGACAGCCCAAGCTTTTATACCTAACAGTGCTCTTTTGGAATGTGTTTCACTGTTATCAGTGGCAAAGGCACTATGGGTAAATTCAAATTCCATCTGGTCACATTTTGGAAACTTGATGTTTAATCACCTCACACGTAGAACAGATGTTACAATTCAAATACAATTTCCAGAGTATGTTTATTTTCATCCTGCAATTGTATTTAAGGTCTATTCATACGACTTCTGTTTTGAAATCAGAAACCCCTTACATATGCAGTATGTCTATATGAATGTATGTAGGGCAAAGCTAAATTGGAATTGCTAGCATTAGAGTTTAAACTGCTGGAAATGTTCAAAAATACCTTTCACTATTTCACCTCAAGAATTTATTTATGCTTCTCAGTGTTTTTGCGTTTCAGACAAAATTATTTTCTTCCTGCCCTCCATGCCACAAAATGTGATTAAATGTTTCAGAGTGCAAAATCTTTTTTAATTTGGTGCTAGTGGCAAACACAAGGGAAAGAGTTTTATCTGAGATCTCTTAATTCCATTTGAAAATGCAGTGCCATCTGAAAATGACGCATTGCAGTAGAGGGTTTAAAAAGGAAATGAATTACACACAATGAAACCAATCCATCAAAAAAGGAGAACTTTGAAAATCTCCTTTTCCCCAGCAACTTCAACTAAATTAACCCTTACTCTACTGATAGAAATGATGATCTGGCACTTGTAAAATCATTACTCCTAATACTTTAGTTATTTAAATGCTAACTCTGATAACTATTAAATGTGACAACCATGACAAACATTTAGCAGTTAATTATAAGAAGGGCAAACAGAAGATTTTATGTAGATAACATACTTACTTTACTAAACATGGGGAACAACAATTCTGTTGTTTTTCACTTACGTATCGGCAGTGATAATTTGTAAACTTGCATGTGAGAAAGAGAAAAAAAAATAAGAGCAGCATCCAGTAATCTATCTTAATATATCTGTCCAATCTGAAGAGTCTGGCAAACACTGCTTTGGCTTTCTAAAGATTAAAAGAAGCGTAGGGCAGCCGATCGTAAACTTGCTTTACTCTTTTGATAAAAGTGGCTTTCCTGCACATTAATAAAATGAAATAGCACTTGTGCAATTTGTTCTCCTGCTAGCTTTGAAAAACAATCTTTTTCACATCATATTATATTATATAATTTCAACACTGTATTATCATGTTATTATTTCTAACTTTCTATAGAATACACGCTGCAATACCTAAAAAGAAAGCCATTTAAAAATCCCTTAAAGTGCTCTGAAACTTTTTTCATGAGCTATAGTTCACTGCAAGTTGTGTCCAGTGTGCAGAGATCTGTTTTTATTATGCTCAAACCTGGAATGGCAGCATATCTTCTAAAAACCAGACAAACCTATAGTAATTATTATGAATGCAGTATAAACATTAGGATTAACAGACCTCTTTATTCCATATGTACTGTACAATGTAAAAACAAATGTTTAATATTGTTAATGAGCAGACTAATATATATTACAGAATGTAACAGATTATTGGTAATTAAGCCAAGAAGCTGTACTTTCAAAAAACATCTGGGATTCATTAGGATAAATAATGCGGATATGCTTTCTAATTACTGTATGTATCTTCAAAAACATCTTGTGCCTTTGTTAAATTGTATTTGTTTTCCAGTAAGGATAGGGGATGGAAGATGGAAGTATCCAGGAGTTCAATCTTCTTACAAACATAAATGTGGGATACAATTTAAAAATCGGCATGCATTTGTAGAATTTGTGTTAAGAATTATTCTAGCAAATGATATTTAAAGGGTAACTGTGTGCGTATACAGTATATGTAGTCTTGTAACCAAAATGTAACCAACATATAGCAAACACATCTAAAATAGTGGGTGGCATGATGGTGCAGTGGTTAGCACTACTGCCTTGCAGTGCTGGGGCTCTGGGTTCAATTCCAGACCTGGGGTACTATCTGTGTGGAGTCTGAATGTTGTCCCCATGTTTGCATGGGTTTCCTCAGGGGGCTCCAGTTTCCTTCCACAGTACATAGATGTAATGGCAGGCTAACTGGCTTCTGGGAAAATTAGACCTGGTGTGAGTGTGTTTGAGTCTGTATGTGACCTGTGATGCACTGGTACTCTGCC